GGGGGGGGGGGGGAGGAGGTGGCACTGTGGCGCAGCAGGTTAACGCCCTGGCCTGAAGCGCCAGCAACCCATATGGGCGCCGGTTTGAGACCCAGCTGCTCCACTTCCGATCCAGCTCTCTGCTGTGGTCTGGGAAAAGCAGTAGAGGATGACCCAAGTCCTTGGGCCCCTGCACCAGTGTGGGAGACCTGGAAGAACCTCCAGGCTCCTGGCTTCAGATTGGTGCAGCTCCAGCCATTGCAGCCAACTGGGGAGTGAACCAGTGAATGGAAGACCTCTCTCTCTCTCATTCTCTCTCTCTCTGCCTCTCCTCTGTCTGTGTAACTCCTTCAAAAAAAAAAAAAAAAAAAAGACAATGACGGGCACAGACTGTGCCAGCTTGAAGCGAGCGGAAGAGGCGGAATGAGTAGATGCAACACGTGACCCTGGGCACTTCGCTGAGCCCAGATGGGCCATAAGAGGACGTTACTGGGACAAATGGCAAAGTGGAGTGAAGGCTGTGAATGTGGGTTATCTTTTTTTTTTTTTTTTTTTTGACAGGCAGAGTGGACAGTGAGAGAGAGAGACAGAGAGAAAGGTCTTCCTTTTTGCCGTTGGTTCACCCTCAAATGGCCGCCGCGGCTGGCGCGCTGCGGCCGGCACACCGCGCTGATCCGATGGCAGGAGCCAGGTACTTCTCCTGGTCTCCCATGGGGTGCAGGGCCCAAGTACTCGGGCCATCCTCCACTGCACTCCCGGGCCACAGCAGAGAGCTGGCCTGGAAGAGGGGCAACCGGGACAGAATCCGGCGCCCCGACCAGGACTAGAACCCGGTGTGCCGGCGCCGCAAGGTGGAGGATTAGCCTAGTGAGCTGCGGCGCCGGCCGGTTAATTATCTTGATATTGATTCTTGCCCTGTGGTCGCGTAAGGGGACGTTCTCGCTCCTGGGAGACGCCCACGGAAGAGACGGAACATAAAGAGCCGGGAAGCCTGCTACGGATCCCTGGTGATTCCACAAAACACCGACCGCAGGAGGCAGGGAGAAGCTAACGGCAGCAAGCGTTTACAACCCCAGGCCCCGGGGGAGCCGAGAGTGGACTTCAACACTGATGTTATTCCAAATGGAAAACAAAGCCCATTGAACAAATGATTGTGTTCCTGGGATAGATGGCGCTGGGGTGGGGTGCACACAGCCATCTCACTTCCCCATCAGCACGTACACACACACACGCCAGCCACGGGCACACCTGCCCATGTACACATGCCTGCTCACACATGTGCCTGATGGCACACGCATGCCTACACATGTACAAGCACACACCATGCCCACACACACCCACTGCACACCCGTGCCCACCTGCGTGGCCCAGAGCTGCAGCACCAGCGCCCGAGCCTGCATCTCCTCTGACACGCCCATCTCCTGCAGGTGCAGCAGGTAGCTCTCCAGCCAGCTGCTCCGGTGGGCTCGGGTGGCGAGCCTGGTGGGGGACAGCAGCTTCCACAGGCGACTTTTGACGCTGCACGCGAGGTCCTTATCCCCTGCAGAGACAAAGTTTCAGATCCCACCCCAGCCTGCAGCCACCTAACCCTGACCTTGAAGTCCATGGGAGTGAAGTCAGGGGTGCTTTGGCTGTCACTCCACGGGAGTGCCAGCCTCTGTGGCCCAGAGGCCATGGTTCCAGGCCCCGCTGGCTGGGAACTCCAACAGTGAGCCCTTTAGATGCAAACCTACTTACTATGTCCCACCCAGCAGAAAGGAGCTGGGGCCCTGGCCCCTGATGGCAGGCACCTTGTCTGTTTTGTTGACCTCTCTGTCCCCAGTTCTGGGCCCATAACAAGCGCTCAACAAATATGCATCTGATGACTGTGGTTTCTTAACGTAGCAGAGAAAGAAACAATGAACGCAGGCAACACCCCCCTTCCAGGTGTGACCCCAGATCAGACTGAGAGACGCCTCAGGCAGCCCTAACCGGGGGCAGGCGTTTGGCATGGGGGTTAAGATGACCCCTGGGAAGCCGGCATCCACACAGGAGTGCCTGGGCTCCAGCCGTGTTGTGCTTGATTCCAGCTTCCTGCTGAGACGCACCCTGGAAGGCAGCAGGTGACGGCCCGCGGGGCAGGGGCAGCCCGGCGCAGCCCGTCATTGCGGACACTTGGGGACTGAACCAGGGGATGCTCTCTCTCTCTGAGTCAGTTTACAATGAGCACCTGCAGGTGCAGCAAGGTGGAAGCCGCCTCAGCTGGCGCAGTTCTGGGTGCCTGCAGGTGTCAGGAGGTGAGGAGGCGGAGCACAGCCCCAGGCATCCCCGGAGGTCTGACCTCACACTGCAACCGTGAGCACTGCTGTACACACAGCTTCTCGGGACGACTAACACGACGCAGGACCACTTGTCACTTCAGCTCTGTGTACAGGAGGCGACCAGGAGAGGGGAGCAGACCCCTCCCCACCACACTGCACGGGCTTGGCTGAGCCCGGCCCATCGCTGGCCCCCAGCCTCCCCTCCGTCAGACAGGGTCTAGGTTTGAGGACTCTCAGTTCTTCCTTGGAAATCGCTTTAGACCCCCTGTAGACGTGGGTCTTTAAAGTCATGTGCTGGGGCGGCACCTGGTCCAGCAGTTAAGACACAGCCCACATTGGAGTGCCTGGGTTCAAGGCCCAGATCTATGCTCAATTCAGCTCCCTGCCCCTCACCCTGGGCGGCTCTGCTCTTGATTCAGCTCCCTGTCCTGCACCCTGGGAGGCTCTGCCCTCGATTCAGCTCCCTGCCCTGCACCCTGGGCGGCTCTGCCCTCGATTCAGCTCCCTGCCCTGCACCCTGGGCGGCTCTGCCCGCGATTCAGCTCCCTGCCCTGCACCCTGGGCGGCTCTGCCCTCGATTCAGCTCCCTGCCCTGCACCCTGGGAGGCTCTGCCCACGATTCAGCTCCCTGTCCTGCACCCTGGGCGGCTCTGCCCTCGATTCAGCTCCCTGCCCTGCACCCTGGGAGGCTCTGCCCACGATTCAGCTCCCTGTCCTGCACCCTGGGCGGCTCTGCCCGCGATTCAGCTCCCTGCCCTGCACCCTGGGAGGCTCTGCCCTCGATTCAGCTCCCTATCCTGCACCCTGGGAGGCTCTGCTCTTGATTCAGCTCCCTGTCCTGCACCCTGGGCGGCTCTGCTCTCGATTCAGCTTCCTGCCCTGCACCCTGGGAGGCAGCAGGCGAGGGCTCAAGTAGCTGAGTCCCTGCCTCCCAGGTAAGATACCAGATTGAGTTCCAGGCTCCCGGCTTTGCTTGGCCCCGCCCTGACTGTTGTGGGGAACCAGCAGCCAGGGGAGCTTTCTCTGTCTCGTATGTCTTTGTTCCTTTGCCTTTCAAATAACTTGAATAAATAAAAATTTAAAGACATAAAATCTTGTGCTTTACCTTTTTAAATAAGATTGACCTTTTCCCAAAAATTTGTATTTATTTATTTTTGCTTTTGTTTGAAAGACAGAGATAGGTGGAGAGAGATCTTCCATCTACTGGTTACTCCTCAAATGCTCACAACAACCAGGGTTGGGCCAGGCTGAAGCCAGGAGCCTGGAACTCAACCTGGGTCTCCCAGTGGTGGCAGGGACCCAGGGACCGGTGCCATCATTTGCTTCCTCCACGGCTGCGCGGTAGCAGGAAGCTGGAATCAGCAGCGGAGCTGAGACTCAAACTCTGATACAGCAAGCAGGTGGCCCAAGCGACAGCTGCCCACTCGACACCTGCTCTGTTTCATCTTCAAAGTGCAGCAGTCTTGCATCAGATCCCAATATAAGAACGCCTCTTCAGGGCCGGCGCTGTGGCGCAGCGGGTTAAAGCCCTGGCCTGCAGTGTCGGCATCCCATATGGGTGCCGGTTCTAGTCCCGGCTGCTCCTCTTCCGATCCTGCTTTCTGCTATGGCCTGGGAAAGCAGTAGAAGATGGCCCAAGTCCTTGGGCCCCTGCACCCACGTGCGTGACCTGGAAGAAGCTCCTGGCTCCTGGCTTCAGATGGGCGCAGCTCTGGCTGTTGTGGCCAACTGGGGAGTGAACCAGCAGAAGGAAGACCTCTCTCTCCCCACCCCCTTTGTAACTCTTTCAAATAAATCTTAAAAAAAAAAAAATGCCTCTTCCTCAAAACAACATTCAAATGAGACGCCCAGAAAGCGGCACCACGCCTACCGTGGGGCGGGGCTCTGGTTAACTGCCCCCCACCCTGCTCCCCGCTTTCTGAGAAGTGCCAGGCTCAATGGTCTAAGGCTCGCAGAGGGCCCATTCTCTTTAAAATATATTTATGGTTTCTAAAACGGAGGAGGAATCAACAGCGCGTGTACACGGTCAATAAGGAAAAGAAGCTGTAAGAGTTCCAATGTAAAACATCGTCAAAAGTAGGCTTCTCTCCACCCCACCCCAACCTTCCACCCCCCACAGTGTAATACCACGTGGCTGGCGGGGTTAGACACAGTCTGCACCTTGCTCTCGTCCCATCCAGCACATTCCATTCTGTTTCTAGCCACATAGTTTGCCTTTATATGGATGCACAATGCGTCTGATAATCCCTCCTGGTGGCCATTTAAGTCTTTTCTCGCACTGCTTTTACCAGCGAGACACGGAGTGCCTCTGTGTACCTGCTCACACGAGCCGGCTAACAGCCTGGGAACGCAAGGGTGCGATCTGAGGAACGTGTTTTTCTCCATTTCATTAGGTTCTGCCGGATTCCACTTCCACAGAGGCAGCCCAGCTTACACCCCCAACGTGGCCAACATGGTCGCCAGGCTGCTGACCCCAAGAAACTAAAACACTGTCCCTCGACATCGCCACCTGCTGCCCATACTGGGAAACACAGGCATCCTATACCTGCGGGAGGAGGAGGGAGTGGGGGAAGTGAGGGGGCTTCCAGGAGGATGGAGGCTCCCCTGGGGCATCTGAACCAGAAGAGGCTAACAGAGAAACCGGATCTTCCAGAGAAGCAGTCAGTGCTGGGACACGGCAGGTGTGTTACATGCACAGGACTTTCCAAAGTTTCCTGTTTGGCCGGCTCTGCCACCTGCCAGTTGTGTCTATGACAAATGGTCTCACTTCTCTGAGTCTCTGTTTACTTATCAGCAAAATGGGCACAAACCAACCTTCCAGCAAGGAGGGCAGGACTCCTTGCGATACTGCGTTGTCTCTAGAAGGATGACCGGGACAGGGACAGACAGCTCACAAGGAGGAAATGCAACCAGCTCCTGAAAGCAGGGGCGGTTCCATTACTGCAGTCGGCGAGAGCCGTGGGAAGCTGGAGGCCCTCTGCTTCCCGCCGGGTTGGCAAGGATTTAGAGGCTGGGGAGTGTGTGTTGACGAGGTTGCACTAACAGTGAGTCTCCAGCCTCTGCCCATCAGGTTGGCAAGCAAACGGAAAGACGGGTACCATCTGGTGCGGCACGCAGGCTGCTCTGGTTTGGGGAGGCGTAGGGATCACTCAGGGGCAAAGGCTAACAGAAAATCCGTGTGTGGCCTTTGACCCTCCCTCTTCCAGGGAACTGTCAGAGAGAAATAAACTCAGCAGGTGGCAGAAGAGATACAAGTGCAATGCAATAATATAACAGCAACAGAAAAGGGCAAAGAAGCAATGGGACAGGATGGCTTACCAAACACCAGCAACCCCTCACAAGGGCTGGGAAGGTAGCTACATTGTTACATTAATTACAGTCCCTCCTACTTTGTGGCCTCTTTAATTGCTTGAGTTCTTTTTATTATTGATTTTCTGGGGGTTGCCAGGTACAGTGTCTGATCATCTGCAAACAGGGATGGTTTTATTTCTTTACCCATTCTTATCTCTGTAATTGATTTATCTTGTCTAATTGCACAGGCTAATATCCCTAAAAGCTTTTTATTAACCAAGGAGAGCGTACAGCTATGTGGTGAGGTTAAAAAAAATATATATGCTGCTCACGTGTCTGCACACGCGCGCGCGCGCACACACACGGTTCTCATGTCCCCCTCCACTGGGCTGCTCCATCCAGGACCCAGCCCCACTCTGTCTCGTTTCCCTAGGGGTGGGGATCTTCCTTCATCCCAGGGCATCAGGCGGGTCCTCCCTCCAATGTCACCCCTGCTCCTTCCCCCTGGGTCCTTCCGTCAGCCCCACCAGCCCCAGGGCCCTGTTGGGTGCTCACCTGCCGACAGGGTGCCGCGAGCCAGTTTGGGGAGCAGCAGGTCGAGTTGGCGGAAAGAGTGGAAGACGTCGGCCGAGTGGACGCGGTCCTGCGCCTGGCTCTGCTGGGTGCGTGGCGATGCCTCAACTCCGTACAGGGTAAGGTAGCCGGCCCTGGGGGCAGCATCAGAAGATCAGAGTCCCCCTTGGACACAGCCAGACCCTCACAAGTGCCTAAGCGCTTCATTCATTCACCCGAAGACCACCTGCTATTATTCCCGCGGATGCCAAGGACTGTTCTGGGCACGGGGAGTCAGCAGTAGGGAGATGGACAAGAGAACTGAGTTGTAGGAGCAAAGTGTCAGCTGGGGCTGAGTGGCACAGACATCAGGACCGGGGTGGGGGGCATGACGTTAGATGCATGCCAAGGGAGGGGCCGAAGCTGGGGGAGAAGAGGGAGGGGTCGAGGCAGAGCCAACAGCAAGTGGCTGAGACACAGCCTAGGAAACACAATGGCTGGCAGCCATCAACTGCTGCCTTCCCAGGCATGAGCAGGAAGCCGGGACGCAAACCAGCACTGTGCTATGGGATGCAGCGTTGCAGTCTGCGGCTCAACCCACCGTGCCACAAGGCCAGCCCCATCGTCTTCCGATGTTCAGGCCTTCGTTAGGGAGCGCGAGGCTCTGAAGAGCAGTGAGAAGGCCGGGGCGGCTGGAGCTGAGTGTGCAAGGGGCACTGACCGGGAGAGGAGACATCTGTCTCTCAGAGGGACTCAGGTCAGCCTCCTGGAGGAGACGGGGTCTGGGCTGAGCCCCTCAGCATGAGCAGGGGTGGGGGGAGGTGTTCAGGCACAGGGCACAGCCTGTGCAAAGTCCCGGGCTGGGGCGGCACCCGCGGCCTGGTCAGAGCTCCAGTGTCATCGTCGGTGCTGGCGCTGGGTGGCCTGGGCGTGGTCAGCGGTCCCAGCTCCGCCATGCAGGGCAGGCACAGGAGTGCTCAGAGGAAACACGGTCAACACTTGCCAATGCCCCAGAAGCCCAGCCCGGGGCCAGCCCCACCGGCCTCGATCCAGGGAGGGGAACTGCAGGTGGTGGGAGGGGCAGGGCCTCCCCCGAGAGTCCACAGGAGCTGCACCCCCACTCCATTGCCTCCCACCCCCCATTCAGGGAGCTCCCAGGAGTCGGGAGAGGGAGGAGGCAGGAAAGAGGGGGGGCCTCCGGGAGGGCTGTCCAATCCCCACGCTGGCCCTCAGTGCACCTTCCCGCATGCAGGAGCGAGTGCCAGCCAGGGAGGCGAACCGACTGGGCTGGACGTCGTGCCAGGGGAATGGAGGGCACATGGGCTGCGGGCCGGTGGACCAAGGGTTCGGAGACCAAGGGTGCATGGGCTGCAGGGCTGGTGGACCGAGGGTCTGGAGACCAAGGGCGCGTGGACCAGGGGCCGGTGGACCGAGGATCTGGAGACCAAGGGCGCGTGGACCAGGGGCGCGTGGGTGGTCGAGCCATCACCCCAAGAACTCGGAGCTCAGAGAGAACGGCTGGGCCCTCAGAGCCCTCCAGGCCCCAGCCCTGAACCCTGCCTTCGCTCAGCGCCTCACACGCACCGCAGCGCCGGGCAGCTCAGCCTGCTCACCCCAGAGAAGCCCCGGTCCCCACAAAGTGGCAGACGCGGCTCCTCAGGGGTCTCCCCCAACCCCAGCCCGGCCCAGGGGGCCCCTCCCCAGCTCCTCCCACCCCCACCCCCGCTGCAGCCACTGAGCCAGCTTCAGTGCACGAGGGGTTGCCCCGGCGGACGGCGTCTTACAGAGGCTGAAGCGACCCGACACCCAGACCCTGGGGACCCACACAGAACCCTGACGCCCCCTCCTCTCAGGCGCGCCCTGCCCCGCACACGACCACGCCCCGCCCCCAGCCACGCCCCACTAACACAACCACGCCCACAGGCCGGGCCCCCGCAGCCACGCCCCCGCGCAGAGCCACTCCCCGGACACGCCCACGTACAACCACGCCCCCTACACATAGCCACGCCCCCGTCGTCAGCCTCGCCCCCATCCCTGCCGCCCCGCCCACGGCTGTTCTTCCTAGCGCGGGGCCCCCTTCCCCCTTCCCTGTACAGGTTTCTGCCGAGAAACAGCCCACGAAAAACCGAACAATAAAGCTCCGGACACGCGGCTCCGCACCGTGGGAGGGAAGGCCCCTGGGCCCCTTGCGCGTGGCCCGCAGACGGCGCCCGGCACCCGCAGGAAACGCGGAGAGGCGGGAACCGCGCCCCTGGGCGGCAAGGGGCCGGTGGGCAGCAGTGGAGCGGGCCTGGGGCTCCCGGGAGCCGGGGCCTGCGAGGGAAGGCCTGGAAGGCTAAGCCGCACCCTGGGCTGGGCTGCGTGCACCTGCGCCCCTGCGTCCTGCTCACCAGCGCCTAATGCGGGGGCTGCCAAGCCGGCCCAGGCCCACAGACACGGGTGCGGGCCGGCAGGTCTCAGCCTGACCCCCAGTGCTGCACCTGCGCCACCCCCTGACTCCCACTGCGTCCTCACAGGCGCACGAGGCGGCCGCAGCCGGGGGCGGGAGATGATGGGTGGGTGGTCCGGGCTGCCCCTCTCTGCCCCATGCTACGAGGACAAGGTGGGGTGACAGCCCCCGCCCGTGTCTGCATGGCCCCAGCGCATGGCCATCATATCCTCATAGCTGGACGTGCAGACTTGAGCCAGCCCTGCCCTGGCCCCAACAGGGAGCCCTGGGCCAATGACTCGCTGCTCCGGGTCTCTGTTTTCTCATCTGTCAAATGGGTATGTAAAGAACCAGCTCCCGGAGCTCTTGTGAGCATTCAGTGAGAACGCACATCAGTCTCCACGTCTGCACACATACGTGTCACACGTGTACCTGCACACCTGCAGGTGCCAGCACTCAGCTTCCCGGGGCCCGAAGCTGCTGCAGGAGGGGAGGTGTCCTGTCCCCGTGGTCTCTGCTGAAATCCTGCTCGCTCACGGCACCGCCCAAGGCCAGGAAGTGGTCCCTTGGCTGTACCTCCCTTCCACGCTGCACCCCAGCCCAATCTTCCAGGTCCCAGCTCCACCCCCCACACCCTTTTCTGTCTCCTGGGGTCCTCCCACCTCCCCTCCCCTGTCACCCCCACTGAGGGTCTGTTCTCCACTCCGCGGCCAGAGGGAGCTTGAAAACTTGGGGGGAGGCGTGTCCCGCCCCTGGCTAGCCCTAATGTCGCCCCACCTTGCTTAGAATGAACTGCAAAGCCTTCCCTGGCCTCGAGGCTCTGCGCTCCTGGCTGGTTCTGGGGGCTCCTCTGTCCGCCTCCCCTCATCCCGCCCCCCAATCTTGACTCTGCTACGGCCACGCTGGCCTCTTGCCTCCCCCCACCCCACCGCCACCCCGACTCTGCTCTGGCCACACTGGCCTCTTGCCAAGCCTCCTTCCACCGCAGGCCTCTGCACCTGCCGTTTGCTCTGCCGAGGGTCCTGGCGCAGTTGGGCCTCCCCCATCTGTCTGGCTGGAACAGCCCCTAAGGCTGGCCCTCCGTGGTCAGCTTGTCACTCTCCGGGTCCCCACCGGGGCCGGCTCTGTGAGTGCCCGCTTCCTGCTTCCTGCCGCCCTGCAGGTGGGACAGTCCATCCCTAGTCCAAGCTGCTCTGCGGGGGGTGAGGTCTTGGGTTGGTCTCCCCATTTGTGTGGTCTGAGAGTGGGGAAGCCGCGCGACAGGGTGGTCTCTGCTCCCTGCTGCTCCCCGCTGCTCCCCCTACTGGATGGCCCGAGCCATGTCCGCCGGTGTCTCCCTAGCAGCTCACGGCGGCTCCGGCGGCCAGGGAGGCCCAGAGGGACGATTTAGGGGGACGATTTTACCTGCAGCCTTCACACCGCAGCTTGGCCCCGCTGCTGGTGGCCGGCCGGGGTCCGGAGTGCGTGGGGCCGAGGGGCTCACCTGAGCAGGGTGCCGTAGGCGAACTCGAGCAGGCCCGTCTCGTGCCAGCTGCCGTCCGCGGCCGCAGTGTCACCCAGCAGGACGGTGCGGAGGTTGGCGTCCATGGCCTCGGTGAGCGCCTGCAGGTCCCTGTGCAGGAGCGTCCTGGCGGGGACCGGGGTGTGAGCTCGGCTTCCAGAGGGAAGTACCCCCCACACACACACCGCGGCGCCGCGGGGCCCAGGGGGCCTGGCCCGACCAGGCGCGCGGGTACTGGTGGCTGTGCTCCGTGTATGATCTCCTTCCCTCCTCTGAGAGGCCCAAGGGACAACTGTTGCCCTTACGACGCTCATTTCACAAACGGACAACCCAGCATCCGAGAGGGAAGGGACTTGCTCAGGGGCGAGAGGGAGCTGCCCACAGGCAGACTGGGACTTGGCGCCAGGGTTGGCCGCGCCTCCCTGGGCAGGCAAGGAAGGAGGGAGCCCGCCCTCCCCCTGGAGCATAGTGGGGAGGGGCTAAGCAGACAGACCCTGGGTGAAGCAACAGGAGGAAGAGAGACCAAGCGGCTGTGACCTCATCATCACATGGACCGCAGCCGGGAGAGAACCAGGCTGGGAGAGGACGTGGCGGGAGCTGGCTGCCTGCCTGTGCTGAGCCTCCGTGCTACGGGCCAGGACTGAGGATGTGACGAGAAAACAAGACAGGGAAGGGGGTATGGGCTGGTGCTGTGGCGTCGCAGGTAAAGCCACCACGTGCAGTGCCAGCATCCCATATGGGCGCCGGTTTGAGTCCTGGCTGCTCCACTTCCCATCCAGCTCTCTGCTATGGCCTGGGGAAGCAGTAGAAGATGGCCCAAGTCCTTGGGCCCCTGCACCCACGCGGGAGACCTGGAAGAAGCTCTTGGCTCCTGGCTTCGAATCAGCTCAGCTCCAGCCGTTGTGGCCATCTGGGGCATGAACCAGCAGATGAAAGACTCCCCCCTTCCTCTCTCCCTCTTTCTGCCTCTGCCTCTCTGTAACTCTGCCATTCAAACAAATAGCTCTTAAAAAAAAGAAAGAAAGGGGGAAAGGGGGGCATCTAAAGCCTCCCCCTCCTGGGCAGGGGAACAGATCACAGGGTGGTGCACAGCCAGTGGTCAACAGCGCCATCTGGTGGCGGCAGCAAGAACAGCGGAGTGCACCAGCCAGGCGCTCCAGCTCTCTGTCGCCACCTGCTGTTTGGGAGTAGGATGGGTCCCTGTAGACCATAAATCCCTGGAGGCTTGGATACTCCCTGAGGAAATCCCGCAGACGGGTGCTTGAGCTTCCAGGTAATACGGGCTTTGGGATGTTCAAGCCAAATGTTGTTGGAAAAATAAGAGCCATGGTCCACGTGAAATCATGCGCGTGACGGGCTTCGCACATTGTAAGCGCTCCAAAAACAGGGGCAGGCATTGGGACTGACCCTGGCCCACCACTCTGCTTACCCCACCCCACGCACCAGTCCTCACTGGAGACAACAGAGCTCAAAATGTCCAGAACCCCCCACACTGGCTCGTGAGGACACGCAGATCATCCCGGGGGCGGGGGAGGGGGAGGCAGTGAACCGGGGACTCCTGTTGTTACAGGGACCCCAGGGTTCCCCTGGGGTGGGGGCGCCAGGACATTCAGGCTCAGAAACACTGCTGGCCACTGACCCACCGGCCAGGGCAGCCGGGCCATCAGCACCCTTCGGTGTCCGCCCCACAGTGCTGGCCTTGGCTTTCACCATTCTGCAAGAGAGGTTCCGGCCACGGGACCAGCATGGACATCTCGATCCTGGCTCCTGGAGGCTGTTCCTCCTGGCCCCGGGTCCCAGGGTCTCAGGCAGAGGGGAAGGGGCCATGGGGTCCGTTCCCACCCCTGTCATTCACAGCAGTGGGCCTCAGCTTCCGCTTCTGCAGTCTAAGGAAACAAATGCTCATCTCTTGAGGCCCATCCTCGGGTCTGAAAGTGCCTGTCGGGCCCGGCGCGGCGGCACAGTGGGTTAAGCTGTCGCCTCGTGATGCCAGCAGCCCACATTGGAGCACAGGTTCCAGTTACTGGAAGGTTCCACTTCCAATCCAGCTCCCTGCAACGCACCTGGGAACGCAGGGGAGGATGGCCCGAGTGCTTGGTCCCTGCCACCCATGTGGGAGACCAGGATGGAGTCCCGGGCTCCTGGCTTCTGCCTGGCCCAGACCTGGCCATTGTGGGCATTTGGGGAATGAGCCAGCTGACGGAAGATCTCTCTCTCTCTCTCTCTCCCTCTCTCACTCTGCCTTTCAAATAAGGAAATAAATCTTTGAAAAGCAAAGCAAGTGCGCTGTCAGACACCTGGCCAGGACAGCGCTGCAGTCCCGGCCCCCAGGACGGCCTCTGCTGAATGCAGCAAATGTGCTCACACGTCTCCGCCTTTTTAAGTCACTTTTAGGAAAAATATTTATTTGAAAGGCGGAGTTACGGAGAGAGAAAGGGAGAGACAGAGAAGGAGGGAGATCTTCCATTCACTCCATTCACTCCCCAAACGCCTGCAGCAGCGGGGCTGAGCCAGGCTGAGCCCCAGAACTCCCAGGTCTCCCAGGTGGGTGGTCTCCCGCTGCCCCCGCCCCAGCACAGCAGCAGGAAGCTGGGTGGGAAGCCGAGTGCAGGCTGGAACCCAGGCTCCTGATGCAGGGGCGGTGTCCCAGGTAGGGCCTCACGGCTGCGCCCAGCACCAGCCCTCACTGCTCCCGGCTGACAATTCAGGGGCCGCTGGCCGAGGGCAGCCCTGGCGGCGGGATGGGGCCAGCTGATAGGCACCGCCAGAGCCGGGAAGGCTGACAGAGAACACGTGGCGCCCGGCCCCGAGGACGGACTCAGAAGAGCCATCTCCAGTCGTCCTCCTTCATCCCACAGGCAGGGAAACAGGCCCAGAGCCACAAAGCGGAAGTGGCGGAGCCGGGATCTGAACCTGTGTCTGCTCACACTGAAACTCTCATCCATCTGCCCGTGCTGAAACCAGGGATGTGTTCTTGGGTGTTGGGGCTTCCGTGTGGTTTGCTGTGGAGGCGAGCAGGAGCGCCCAGGGCCGGAGCCCCTCCCCCGGGGCCATCCCCGCACTCACGGCCTCATCCTGGCCTTCTCATCGCTGGGGCTGTAGTGAGGCAGCTGCACATCGAAAATCCGCTCCATGAGGAAGAGGGCGTAGGCGTGGAAGTCCAGCTTGGCGCGCGACTCCCACACCACGGCGTCGTAGGAGTGCGGGTCTAGGAGGACCGTGACGTACCTGCCCCCCAGCAGCACCTGCGGGACGGAGAGAGCAACTTCACCACAGACGACAGCGCTGCCGGCGGCCAGGCTCACCGTGGGAAAGCAGGGACCACACCACTCACCCATCAGAGCTAAGACAGGGAGCCTCGAGGGCGACCCCACGCTGAGGAGTGGCAAAGCCGGGCCTGGAGCTCCCTGCTTTACAAAACCACAGGCCCCACTAGGGTCATCCAGCATCCAGGACAGAACCTGGCTGCAGGAGGCAGCAGATGGATGGACGGACAGATGGGAGCACAGTGTTGGGAAGGTGAGTGTCAGTGGACGGACTGATGGGTGGATGGATGAGAGGAAGAGGGAGGGAGGGAGAAGAAGGGGACGAAGGGGGGAAGGAGGGGGAGGGAGGGGGGAGGAGGATAAGAGGGAAGGGGAGGAAGGGGGAGGGAGGGAAGGAAAGAGGGAGGGGAAGGGGGGAGGGAGGGGAGAGGGAGAAAATTGGCTACCGGTAAACGCTTGTGGGTAGAAGGTTAGATGCATGGAGAAGTGGAAAGATAGACCAGTGAATCTACGTTGGATGCAAAGAGAGATGACTGGGGGACTGGGAGTTGTCTGGAAACCGGCGTGTGAACGGGCGTGGAGCACGTGGATGGCAGAGAACCGAGTGGTACAGGGCAAGTCAACTGCAGGATGCGTCTGGGTGCACGGGAGGCGGCAGATTCATGGGCAGGTGGGTGATGGTGTTTGGATGTTGAAGGGATGCACAGAGATATAAATGTCAGTGGGGTGGGCAGACATCAGCTTTGAGTGTATCAACAGTCGAGTGTCCATCTGAGGAACAGACGGACAGATGTACAGAAGGAAGAATGGAAGTTGGTAGAGAGTGAAAATACGGATAAAGGTTGGGCGGACACAGGGCGCAGGAGTGGGGAAAGACTCATTGGATCTGTGTGGACAGAGGGATAGGAGATGGATCACGGGTGAACAGGCGGATGTTGGGTCAGGTGGATGCAGGGGTGACAGACACGGAAGACAGGAAGGAACGCTGAGGATGCTGGGTAGACACTGCACACAGAGGCAGCGGAGTGGCTGTTGGAGGGGTAGATGGGTGCTGGGCAGGTGGGAGGGATGGGGAGGCACAGAACGGAGGTCCCAGTGCTGGACAGGCACTGCACGCACCGCTTGAGCCAGGAAGAGACGGTGGACGTGGGAGGGAGGGGACGCCAGACAAGCGCGGGAGGTCCAGCGGACGAGGGGTGCAGAGTACGGGGGCTGGCGCGCGGGCGGAGGGCAGCCGGGAAGGCGTGGCTTTCCCAGGGCACGCCCAGCTGCTCCCGCCCCTCCCGCCGGGGCCCAGGCCGCACGTACCGTGAAGATGTCCCCGTGTTTCTGCTTCATCCTCGCCAGGAAGCCGGCCGCATCCTTCCCGAACTCCAGGGCGTGGCCCAACCAGGGAATGCTGCCCAGGTCCAGAGGCGGCTCTCCGGGTCGCCTGCAGAAGCCACAGCCCCGTCACCATTCCATCGGGCGGGGCGGGGGCGGGGGGGAGGCCCCTGACGCAGCCCCCCTTCCCCCACCGTGGGCAGAGAGCCGCGGGTTGGGAGGGAGGGAGTCCTGCTGGGTGCTGGCTTGTTACAGAGCAGCAAGCACCCAACAAGGGTGCCAATGAGGGAGGGGCTGTGTGCTGACGAGAGCTGCGGCAGGGACCATAAACGGGCCTCATAATTTTGCAGGGCTGGTGCCCATGGTGGACCCCCTGGAGGTCCCTAAATCCAAGGTCTTAAAAACTTTATTTTGGGGGCTGGTGCTGTGGCCTAGTGGGTAAAGCTGCCGCCTGCAGTCCAGCATCCCATATCGGCACCGGTTTGAGTCCTGGTTGCTCCACTTCCGATCCAGCTCTCTGCTGTGGCCTGGGAAAGCAGTGAAAGGTGGCCCAAGTGCTTGGGCCTCTGCACCCGCATGGAAGACCCAGAAGAACCTCCTGACTCCTGACTTTGGATCAGCCCAGCTCCAGCTGTTGTGGCCATTTGGGGAGTGAACCAGAGGATGGAAGACCTCTCTCTCTCTCTCTCTCTCTGGCCCTCTGTAACTCTGTCTTTCAAATAAATAAATAAATCTTTAAAAAAAAAAACACCTTATTTTCATTTTATTTGGAATGCAGAAAGACAAAGTCTTTCATCTGCTGGTTCATTGCCAAATACCCCCCAACAGCCAGGGCTGGGCCAGCAACTCCATCCGGGTCTCCCGCGTGGGTGACGGGGTCCAAGTATCTGAGCCATCACCGGCTACTTCCCTGCGTGTACACTGGCAGGAAGCTGGATCAGAAGTGGGGTGGCCAGGATGGGATTCGGACCAGTCATTCTGGGGGTTCCAAGTAGCGACTTAAGCCCCAAGTACCCACCCTGAGACCCACATTGTAGCCTTAGAGTTGTCAGAGCCACGGGCATCCGTCTGCCGAATGAATGAATGAGTGGATCGTCACGTGTCTTCTTGCTCTTTATTCATTCACTCACTAAACATGAGCAATGAAGCAGACCTGCTCCAGGTGCTGGAAACACAGCAGGGAATGGCTGCCCACGTGGGAGAGAAGACAGACAGAAAAGCAAAAAGGGGCCGGCGCTGTGACACAGCAGGTTAAGCCGCCTGCAGCTCCGGCATCCCTTACGGGCACCAGCTTAAGTTGCGGCTGCTCCACTTCTGATTCAGCTCCCTGCTGATGCGCCTTGGAAAGCAACAGAGGATGGCCCCAGGCCTGGGCCCCTGCACCCCCGTGGGAGACCTGGATGAAGCTCCTGGCTCCTGGCCTCGGCTTCTAGATGAGCCAGCAGATGGAAGCTCTCTCTCTCTCTCTCTCTCTCTCTCTCTCCCTAGCTCTCTGTAACTCTGCCTTTCAAATAAATTAAATAAATTTTGAATTCAAAAAGAGCAAACAAAGCATAAACCCTGTCGGAGTGAGAACCACGATGAGGAACCACAGAGGAGACCCAGCTCAACACTGAGCGAACATCCCAAGTTAAAGACACACAAAGGATCTGAACAGCTGCTGGCGCCGCGGCTCACTAGGCTAATCCTCCGCCTGTGGCGCCGGCACACCGGGTTCTAGTCCCGGTCGGGGTGCTGGATTCTGTCCCGGTTGCCCCTCTTCCAGGCCAGCTCTCTGCTGTGGCCCGGGAGTGCAGTGGAGGATGGCCCAAGTGCTTGGGCCTGCACCCGCATGGGAGACCAGGAGAAGCACCTGCTCCTGCCTTCGGATCAGCACGGT